AAAACAAATGTTACTGATAAATGCTGCACTGCTTGTTTTGATGTAAGCATTTAATAATCATTCATATGTGTTCTCAACAAGATTGCCATTTTTTAATGGAGAGCTGTTGTTCAGCACCACGGACAGCGCTGAGTTCTTCTCTTCTTTCACACTATTTTGGGACAGTTCACCCAAAAATGAAATGGTTGCTGGTAGCTTTTGACTTCCATAGTATTTTTTTCTCATACTTTGTAAGTCAATGGCTACCAGCAACTGTTCGGTTGCCAACATTCTTCAAAATATCTTCTTTTGTGTTTGACAGAAGAAAGAAATTCATACAGGTTTGGAACAACACAAGGGTGAGTAAATGATGAAATGTTCCTTTCCCCATGCCTTTAAGACTTTATATACCCTTCTTGCAAGCGAGTCCTAAAATAGTTCTTAAATACATTCCTTGTGTTTATGACATAAGTATATTTACATTCAAGTAATATAAAAATGCAAGATATCATTGCTTGCCAATGCATTAAGCCAAATAACAACGATTAAAGAGAAATGACTGTTTTTTGTACTTACTACGCTCATACTGAACATCAAATTTATAAGGGCTACAAATCAATAAAACGACAAGCACATAACAAAACACATTTCGTGCAAAATATGCTCCTGAATGCAAAAATATAATTGACAATAACAAACCACTCTTTCCCAAAGCAATATGCAGACATCAATTAGTCCTAATATTGCCACTGTCCTACTTTCTTTTGAATCGCACAAATACTTAAATGCATACATACACATACGCACATACATTTCTTCAGATCCTAACAATAAATAAAATAAACTAACGTATTCCATGTTCTCTCTGCTACATTTATTTTTGAAAGCAGATATAGAAATGTCCCTTGGTCTTCAGTCTGGGCCATTTAAAATGGGCTATATTCAATTAGAGAGGGAAAACAAGAAAGCCAGAGAATGTGGAGTACTTCCACCCGCCCATGAGGTTCCCTCTCTCCAGTTTGAGATAGAGTCTGTCTTCACGCTCCAGGTGAAGCAGAACGCCGTTACTTGCTGCCTCTCGGGTCACATCTTGATCACCGGCAAATGCAGATATTATTGGGTATTCATTATGCATCAGATTGACCTAATGACATAGAAGCACAAGATCCGATCACACGCATAACAACAAGCCAGATCTAAACTAAGCTGCACTAAATAGTATCTGTTTTTATGTTTATAACATATATTTTTAATTACTATTAAGTAATAGTGACGAGTATCATTTCCATTTCACTTTTAACTGCTAACACTTGTTAGATAGTCCTTATTCCGATATTGTGACAACCATCAATTCAATCAGTAACTAGTATTATACATACTAGAAAATAATAATGTGGTACTAGTCACTGTTCTAATAGTGAAAACTAACTATTCTGTTTTACTGATAAGAAGGTAATAATTTTTCAAATTTAATTATACAGGGATCTGTGGTTTACGTATTCATATTCTCTTGTGACTAGCTAATGAATTCCAATTGATAATTTCTAAGTTATCACAATTGGCATCTATTTCAGCTTTTGAAAGTGGCTATTTAATGTATATATATATATATTAGTATATAACTAAATGTAGCAGCAGAAATGTCAATACTTAGGCTAGACAGACATGAGTAGTTAATATACGCACTTATCGATATTTCATTGTGTTATAATTCAGTGGCAAACCACTCCATTTAAGTTTCAGTTGTTTATAATTTGTTTCGTATAAAACTCCTGAATGTTAACAAATAGACTCACCTGAATTGTCTGTCGGTTGTAGACCTTCACAACGTGAAAGCTGAAGCTGTAAATGCCTCGCCGAGGAGCTTGAAATACACTCGCCTTAAGATCGAAATGATTTCCAATGTTCACTAGTACCTGCAAAAAGGTGTTTGTTCACTTGGTTAACGTATGTTTTATAAACGTTCTCTTGGGGGAAACATGTTAAAGCCTACTTAACACACAAATACGCGTTGCCTAAATGTGAAAGCAAGGTCTGACCTGATCAAAGTAGATTGTCATGGACTTGTTACTCATTTCTGATGGTTCATGGTTAGTTCCTCTGACTGCAGAAAAAGCCACTTTAGCACCAGCAGCTCGGACAGATATCCCAAACGACGAGGTCACTCCTCCTTCGGCGGACGGGTTCGAGTCACACACAACTAAACATTTTCCTTCCAAAACTACCGGTTCTGTGTCATTCTGTCCGAGGGAAAACGCAACGCTGAATCCCAGAAGAAGGGTGGAGGCCAGTACGGCCAAAGATCCCGGTTCCCTGGCTCTCAACATGACTGTGGAAGACCTCTGCTCTGAGCAAAAAATACTAACGAGCACTCTTAGGAGATCAGTGAAGGCGAAAGCACCTCTCTCTCTCTCCCTCTCTTTCTCTCACATACACATTCTCTCATCCACAAACACCGAGCGCACGCCTTATTTGAAAACGCCCTGAATTTTTACCATGTGCTTAAGTTTCCATTGCGCAACAGTCTACAAACAAGTTCAAATGCAAAATGTATGCATCACAGCTAAATAATAAATAATAAATAAAAAGACTATTAATTAGAATAAATGTATCACTAATTGATGCTTTGACAGCCATAATACTAACGAAATCTAAACTGTAGACAGATAAACTGTCACTTGAAGGGTTTATGCGTTGAATGGATATTCGAACAAACCACATTGAACAGTTAAAAGCACTACTGTATTCAGTATACTGTAAAGGTCTTATTGTACTCATAAACTTCTGCTCAGCATTTATTGATGAAAAATTAATATTAATGTAAATTGATGTTTTGTAAGAGGTCAATGGCTGTCTGGTCTGGTGACATCCCATTGTTTGGTGTTGAGGTGTTTCAAAAACTAATATGATGTGCTATTGCACCATCCAGTGGTTGTGAAAAGATATTAAAGCATAACTTTATATGAAAAGACTTTAAACTAGCGAAGTATTTAGCACTTTAAGTAAACATTTTAATTTGAATTCACACATGCAAAAATTGTGTTAATTAAATGCAATATGCACAAAACGTAAGCGAATGACAAAATCATAACATACTGTAAATATGTCCAAAAGACTGGGAAGTTAATATATAACAAGTCGTTTTGCTTTTTCTTTCAGCAACATCAAGATTTTAGATTAAAAGTTATGAATGTATAATAGAATGTGCACATCTGGCACAAAATGTCAACAAATGTCATGCCTATATGTTTCAGAATTCAAATTTGTTCACACATAACCCTCTAAAACTAAAATATGTTTGAGCTGTAAGTGTAAAACTTTGTATGTGACAGATTCTGTGAGTCACTTCTTACAGTAACAACTTTAAGTCTGTTGTGGTAATATGCACCAGCTTTTGCATGCTGTTCAAATGTGATTACAGCCCATTCTTTAATACACATTTGCTGCAGATTAATTTTTTTATTAATGAAATGACACTTGACAACCACAAATTTATAGTACCATACCTTTTCAATTAATAATTTTGTTATTTTGACACAGTGTGCTAATTGGATCACTGTCTTGCTGAAAGATGAGAGATTTAGCCAACTGAAGCAGGTTCACTTGCAGTATTTCCCTGTGTTATGCAGCATCCATTCTTTCTTCTGTTTTAACAAGATGCTGATGAAAAGCAGCCCCACAGAGAATGCCAGTTTAGCAGAAGGCATTTGGGGCCATATTAGTGTCTTATTTTTCATTTTTCCTCCACATTTCTGTGCTTCTAGTTTCTAGCTTAAACACAGTCTTGTTGTTATGTGCATCTAATATGCAGCAATACAGTGGAACGTGAAACACAAAAGAAAAGGGGATATTTTTGCAGGTTACCTTTTGTCCAGATGCCACAGGACAGAATGTCTGTTCATGTCTGTCTCTTTTCTCTTTTTTTTTATTATCTTTGCGTTGACTGTCTGAACAAGGTGGGTGAGAATGCACAAGCGGCAAGCCCACTGATCATGTTAATTTCAAACTTTTATAGGCCTACTTTTATTTATATTGTTATCAGACGATACAAACACTATGCCAAAACACTAGTAATAAATAATAAGTGATTTTGGAGTTGAAAATTGGGATGATGCACACATTAGCCTAAAATTATTTTGAAGTTACTTGGAGTTTTGCAGGGTATCACAATGTAAGCCTACAACAGGGCTGCACCAGGGTAAAAGGCCCTTTAGAATGGTTTATCCCAAAACCAGACATGTTGTCCTTTATGCAATGTGAATTATCCTGATCCACGAGTTATCACCTGTAATGGCAAAGATGGAATTTTAAGTAATTTGTTCTAACATTTAATAATGTTTGAATATATTGTAGATGTATGTAGCTTAATCCCTGAAATTATCACTTGTTTATGATTTTGGGGGGAAATTAGATGGCAGAAAAACAGTACTTTGTTCAATTAAAAGCCTTAAATGTCACTCAAAAATATCTTGCTTTATCATGCAGCTAGGCTATTAGGCCTAAATAAAATTATATTATCACAAATTTCGCAGTAAAGAAGACCTTATTAAGGTAAAAGCCACTTTATTGCGAATGAAAACGAGGCTGTGTGCTCAGTCAGTAGGCTACTGTTCCCAAGGTCACAAGAAAAAAACTCTGGAAAAACATATTTCTGTACAACTGACTGCCTATCCGTTTCAGCCTTGTTTTAATTCTCAAAAAATGGCGTCTATCCTTACTGAGTGTAATCAATGCACTCATATTCTTTGACAAGTAGCCTGCTACTAAATATAAAAATAAATAGTTTTAAAAAAATCGTTATACTTGGAACTCAGCACACAACTCACATTTTGCACAATGTTTTCATTTAGTCCCATAGCTATTTTCAAGTAGGCTAGTTTAATCATACTCAGTTAGCAAACCATGGGTTAACATCACCTAGACAAACTTCATCTGAGGCAGGGTATCGCATATAGAATTTTCTGGCCAAATATGAATGAAGGGATCGTGTTAATCCACTCTTCGCCTCCGCAGGTCTTCTGGGCACGGATGTGGCGGATTACGCAGATGTGTTCAACCTGTACCATCAAACAAGTCTTCAACTACACCCTGAGTTCTGGGAATAGCGGCAACAATTTGTGCGATGAATCTCATACACTTTGGATCGCGTTCTTTAAGCAGCTTCTTATAAAGACGGACTGCTTTATATCGTAGTTATATTTTATCTCAGTTTCATCCCTCGCTTCGCCACTTCCATTAGCATTTCATGGAATTCAAAGTTGAAACCCTAGGGGAGAATTATGGTGCCGCGGGTGAAACTGCTTGTTGGTGAGTAAATATAATATTGCGCGAGCTTATGGAAACGAACATAAATATAATGTTTCATTTTATTGTCATCGACCGAGTAACCTCTTGAGAACAATACATGCATGATTTCCTTTAAATTTAATCCATATTCCTATTTAATGTGTTATTCTGTTAGCATGTTCATACGAAAACAGGTATATAACTATAATGTGAAAAAGCATAGACAAGACAGACAGACAGCCAGACAGATAGATAGATAGATAGATAGATAGATAGATAGATAGATAGATAGATAGATAGATTATAAACTCAATGTACAGAGTATACTGTACATTGGAGTTATCTTTGACCATGACCCTGGACCACAAAACCAGTCATAAGGGTCAATTTTATGAAATAGAGATTTATACATCATCTGAAATCAACAAAAAAAAGAAGCTTTCCACTGATGTATGGTTTGGTTTATTAGGATACGACAACATTTGGCTGAGATACAACTATTTGAAAATCTGGAATCTGGAATAAAAATATTGAGAAAATCGCCTGTAAAGTTGTCCAAATTAAGACTTTAGCAATGCATATTACTGATCAAAAATTAAGATTGGATATATTTACAGTAGGACATTTTACAAAATATCTTCATGGAACATGATCTTTACTTAATATCCTAATCATTTTTGGCATAAAATAAAAATTTATATTTTTGACCCATAAAATGTATTTTTGGCTATTGCTACAAATATACCCCAGCGACTTAAGACTGGTTTTGTGGTCCAGGGTCACATTTAAGAACTGTATAAACACTATTCTTGTCTCAGATCATTATTCATTTTTGCAGTTGTTGCAAGTCTTGTCAATCTTGGATTTTCTGGAGCACCAACAGCACCACCAAAGAGAGCTATAGGTAATTATCTCTCATTAACAATTACCTCTTAAGTAAGCTAGAAGGGCATTGTGATCGCATGCAAAAGTAGTACTGATTTGAGATTGTTTTTATATATATCTTTTAAAAAAGAAATGCTTTGTCACTTCAGTTAAAAACAACTCAGGTGTGACACCGGCAGGGTTGTGTGGTGCTTGGGACAAAGAATCTGATGGAGGGCTTTTCACATCTCCTAACTATCCTGAAAAATATCCTCCTGACCAAGAATGCATATACATAATTGAAGGTTAGCGAGCTACCATTTTGACAATTTTTAGTGAGTAACATCTGCATATCTAACTAGAGATTTTAATTATGTCATAGCTTCTCCAAGGCAATGCATTGACCTGTATTTTGATGAAAAGTATGCTATTGAGCCATCGTGGGAGTGTAAGTTTGACCACATTGAAGTCAGGGATGGCCCCTTCAGCTTTTCTCCTATTATTGGCCGCTACTGTGGACAAGAGAGCCCGACCTATGTTAAGTCCAGCGGACGATACCTTTGGATAAAATTTGTGGCAGATGGTGAACTAGAAGCTATTGGATTTTCAGCTCGGTACAATTTCACCCAAGGTAAGAGTTGTGTTTTTGTCATCAGTATATGCATTTTTCTCTATGCACCAAGTATTTATCAGTTTCTTTATGCAAGTTTATGCAAAACCTGATGATCATGTCCAGCATGATTTGAGGGTCTTGTGCTTCAATAGAAGAGCATCTGATTGTCCAAATGATCAGTGTTACAAATGTTATGTAATAAGTGACCTGGATGCAGAATCTAAATTGTGTCTTCTTATTCACCTTACATCTTGAAGTTTCTTGGCTTTAAAAGTTTAACATGTTACAGGTTTAAATAGCAATTTAAATAGCAGATTTTGTGGTCTCAAGCTTTTAAACTCCACTGTATTTATTTGGAAACAAAATCTATAGTTATAATATTGGTTTAGTGCAGTTGGTTTATTCTTAGCAAGATCCTCCGTGTTTTGGTAAATGCTGTGTTCTGTGCTCAGGTCAGATGACCATGCATTTGTAGTGCAGGCACACATGCAGCAGCTGAGTGGGGGAGGTTTGTGATGTCTCTGATCCCAGTTAATGAAAGCTTGTCTTCAGAGGAGCACACTCAGTCTGCTCCATGTCCTGAGCTCTTCCTCCTACATCAGCTTCGCCAAATCCTATTGCAAATCTTTATGCATTATTGGGTTGCAAAGGGTCATGAGTCTTTTGACAAGATATTTTTGAATTCATATTTCACATCATTCAATATATAGCAAAAGTGAAAATGGAAGTGAGTTTTTTTTTTTTTTACTAATCGACTGTGGTTTAAGACAGATGCGATGTCCGTCTTTTCTAAAGTTGGCTGGTGTTCCTGATTAAGTGATGTTACTTACATTCTGATTACACTAGTGTTCACTACAGCTGCCTAATAAACACTGAACAGCAGTGCTAATCTCCTCTCAAAGCTAAATCCAGTCAGATTCAGATTTTGATAATGAAGCAGGGTCATAAGAGGAGAGGACCAGCAATCACATATCTGTCCTGTGAATTGACAACCCTGTAATGAAGGAAGCACGCAAAATACATACATCACAGATAGAATGTCTACACACTATGGAAACAAAAACTAAAAATTTTCACATCTTAAAAAAAATTACATTTGTAACCAAGAGATGTAATGAATGATTATATTACAAAATATATATATTTTTAGGCTGCTCTAGGCATTCCATTCAAGATTTTTTTTCTGTTATGTATATAAAATACTGTAAAATATCATTCTGCACATCATAAATCAGAGATTTATTAGAAACTTACATCCATGCATCCGGTTACATTAGCATAAAGAATAATCTTAGCCAAGCTTTACCAGAGGTAAGAAAACACGAGAGGATTACTGTGAATCCCTGAATGATTTTAGATTGAAACCCTAAAGACTCTGAAATATCCTGGTGAATTTTTTTGGAAATGATAAATTAGATCTAGATATACATGATAAACTGGCCAGAGCCTATTACCTGTTTAAGCCTGAAAAACTGTGCATAAATAAAATAAATTCAAACAGGCTCCTGTAAACACACCTACATCTTATTACTTTGATTCCTGTCGCACTGGACAGCCTAATCTGTGTGAGGCTGGTTCAGGGATTATTAATCCACGTACAATCATGACTCAAGCCTCAGGACACCATTCTCATTCACTAATCCTATGTGCTTCAGTTATTATGGTAAAAGAAAATAAATGATTGTGCCGGAAGTGTTTTTTTTTTTATTTAATTGATCTCCTCTGCATAATAAAACCACTTCACAATGATACATTACTGTGCTTTCATGTTGTAGTTTGTGAATTTGAGATGAGTGGGCCAGAGGGGATTGTGGAGTCAATAATGGTTATGAAAGAGGGCAAAGCGTTGCAGACAGAGGCTGTAGACTGCAGGTGGTTCATAAGAGCTCCTCCTGGCTCGAAGGTAAAACTCCATTCACAACTTTATTTAATTTGATTAAAGCCCAGCATGGTGGCTGATCTTGTTACTTTCCACTATGTAAGGACCTAAAAAATATGAATAAGTACAAATGAAAAAAGATCTCCTAAGAACACTGATATAAATGTGTCTCTTCTTGTACAGATCTATTTGCGTTTCCTGGATTATGAGATGCAGAACTCAAATGAGTGCAAGCGTAACTTTGTGGCAGTGTATGATGGGAGCAGCTCAGTGGAACACCTAAAGAATAAATTCTGCAGCACGGTGGCCAATGACGTGATGCTGCTGACTTCATTAGGTGTGATTCGCATGTGGGCCGATGAGACCAGCCGCAGGAGCCGATTCCGTATCCTCTTCACCACCTTCCACGAGCGTGAGTCATTCCATCGTTTTTTTTATCTTAACACATTTCAGTAGCACATACTGTATAGATTTCTTTCTAGCGGTAAAGTCGTGATTTACCTCTTATTTTAACTGCATATTTGGACTAACACATTATTAGTGCTGTACTGAGTCACTTCAGCAGTTTTAGCTGCATGATATGGTAGTGTCTCATGTGGTTTCTTCTATAATTATTATCATTTTGCTCTGCTCTTCAGCTCCATGTGAAGGAGACTCTTTCTTCTGCCATAGCAACATGTGTATTAACCACACATTGGTGTGCAATGGTATCCAAAACTGTGTCTATCCTTGGGATGAGAATGGTTGCAAAGGTAAATAGTCACATGTTTAAAAATGAAATATTAAAAGAAAATAATGGCATTTATGCTGTCACCATTTACTCACCTCAAGTCATTACAAACCTGTTTGATTTTCTTTCTTATGTGGAACACTTTGAAGAAGGAATTTTTTTTTAAAAGTATCCGTGTTTTTGTCCATCCAGTTGACTCCAATTGACTTTCATTGCATGGACATAGACACATACATTTTTCAAAATATCCTTTTTTGTGCATTCCACAGAAGAAAAGAAAGTTGTACACGTAAATTATAAGATAATTATCATTTTTGAGTAAACACTTCATGTGCATGTTAACTGCTGTTCACATTTTTTAAGAAATCTTTTTTATTCAGTCTTATTACTTTTGTACTTTTGTATAATCGATTGTATCCTTATTTTTCAGCAAGGATACATTTGATCAAGATAAAGATTTATAAAGACACAAAAGATTTCTATTTTGAACGTATCATGGATTCTATAAAAAACATTAAGCAGCACAACTGCTTTCAACATTGATATTAGAACTTTGTTACCCGAATGCTTCAGTTTTCATTCTCATATCACATATTACTGATAAAAATACAAACAAGTTGTTATGCTGTCTCATTTTATTACATTTGTATTATAAAATGCAACGTAGAACAAAAACGATCTTTTAAAAAAAGTGCCTTTCCATTGGATTGCCTCCTCTTTCCTTGCTTATTGGTAATATTTTAGAGTGGTTGTAGGCATGTGAACATTTCTAATATTGCCAACCCCGTCATAATAACATGTATGCATTTAATACTATAAAAGTACTGTTTTCAGCAGCAGTCAGAGATGCGTAATGAGCGCACACATTGAGGTTTGTGAGTACATCCGCATAATAGTGCCTCCCTCTGGTATATTAAAGTAATTGCAGTGGATAAACTTTCACCACTATTTAAAAAAAACATATAAAATGACAGTTAATTAACAGGTTATAAATCTCGAACCCACAATTCGTTAGGTTTCTTCAAGTCATTTTTATTATCCCATGAACTAATAGTATGTTCGTCTCTAGTAACTTAAGGGAAAGAGAGCGGAACTAACGAAGCTTCAGTCTGTCGTCGGACAAAAAAGGAGATGGACCCGCACCGATTCTCGTCTTGTGAAATAATGTAAACGTCCTGTGGTTGTTTTATAATATATCTATAGAATATATAGACCGTATATTGACATGCTTATGCCGTTGATTTATTTAAATGTCTTGCTCATTACTTGCATATCTGATCTATTTTAATTGCAAATCTGTCAGAAGCTGCGTTCTGTCATTGGTTATTTAGGATGTCGGAATTTGGCATAGAATCAAATCACCCCACAGAGACTTATAAGCAGGGATCAGCTGGTGAAAGTGCTTTTAAAAAACGACTCGGTATTATTGCAACTTGTGTCGTCGGAGGGTCATTGGTCGCTCTGTATGCAGTGACCGGACCGTTTGTTGCACCAGCACTGAGGAAAGTTTGTCTCCCATTTGTACCTGCAACAAGGACTCAAATTGAAAACGTTCTTAAGGTTTTGAAAACTAGATCAGGGTCTCTGGCGGATATCGGCAGCGGAGATGGACGGATAGTGAGTTTGTTTTAGTAAAGAAAATAAGAATGTATGTATGTGTTTGTTTGTTTATTTATTAATTAATTTATTAGCATTTTTATTATATGACGAATAAGAAAATGCTTTTATAAATGTTCTCAAGAGATATAAAGTGATCACGTCTTCATAAGAATATACTATATTAGCGTCCACACCAGCGGATGATATCATCTGTTTATTCTAAGTGCATGCTCGTCTGCCGCTTTAAATTCTTGATTCTGATTGTGTGTCCATGTTTTTTAGCATTCATTAGCTGGAAAAAAATCATTCTGAAAGTTATTCCAATGATATTGTTTCACTGTGCCTTTATCGTTACAGCTGAGAATGATTTTAGACCTATCGTTATCTTTATAGTTATCCTCATTAGTGTGAACAGGCCTTAAAGCTTTTTCTCTATATTTATTTTTTATTAAGTAAAAGTACATCTTAAGTACTCATAGGGACGAATATATACGTTATGTAAATAATCCAACATTATTCCTGGAATAAATTGATCGACTCAGTATTAATATGTCACATTTGTTATAAAAATTATATCTCATACTGATAAAAGATGCATGCATATTTAAAACCACATTAAGACCTTAACACTAATTTCTACCTCTAATTTCCATTACAAAAAAAATCCCATTCACCACAAAGCCTTTCAGAGCCTTACACACCACCAAATCAATTTATTTGCATTGTGGGGACCATATCCTCATTCAAAATACAAAAAGTACCTACAAAACATGAGAGGCCAATAAAAAGTCAATATCCCTAATAGGAAAAGGTGTGTATGTGTGTTTGCACACGCCCAGGTGTAACAAGATTCGAAGTCTCATGCCTCACCCCCTTAACATACAGTACATACACACCAAAAAAACTGCCTCCAGTATTTTATGTTGGCATTGCGCCCTTGTTATAGTAAATTGCCCTATACCGTGATGCATTCGTATTGTATATTTGATTAAAAAACAATGATTATATCTTTAAAAAATATGCTAGCATGATGCATATCGAGATGTAGTAGTTCGAAAGTAAATTCATTCACATACAATCCAGCGCAGTCGCCACAGGAAAACGCTAGAAAGTGTCGCGTTCTCTGCGCATGCGCGCTGTTCTGCCGTAAAGCGATACCGTAGCAGCACGTTCAGAACCAAAGGCCACAAACATGTTTAGCCGAGCAGGAATATAGTCGACCAACAAGTAGCTTGATCAGCGCTATCTGTGAGCACTACACGGAAAAAGGGGTTATGCGGCGTTCATGCTTGGATCATGTTGTATTGTAGCGTTGTTGTGAGCTGATATTGTGTTTTGTTCCGCGGTGTGTGTTATGTGTTGACTGTAAAGAGGACAGTGCGTCACCGTACAAGATGGACACTGCCGAAGAAGGTAAGCTTTCTAGACACGGAGGCATTGTGGTTGCTGTCTTGTTTCCATGTTGTTGCTTTTTAAATGCGCTTTGACAAAAGTAGGTTTAATATTATGTGATGATTTAGCGGGGGCGCGCAATCAAATATGCATCTGTAACGTTAACTGATGTGGGCCTTTTTGCAAGCTAACGAGCTAAGTACAGCTGTCATCCTCCAAGCACGTCCAAATAATATGAATTTGAACTGGATTTTGACTTTAAAGGACGTCATGGAAATTGTTAAAATCACATTAGTCATGTTAAAATAGTTTTAGCCATTTTCATAACGTGTGTAACTCACGTAGAGTGGTTTATTTGTGTATTTTGGCCAGGTGTAAACGCACCTGACATATGGTGAAATAAACGAAACGTTGTATATCAGTCAAATCACGTATGCCATATTTAAAACACTGCCTGAAATGAGATCCCATTGATTTTTAAACTTTATGTGTGCTGGAGTGATAGTTGTATCGCATGTTATTCAGTATTATCTTGTTAAGGTTTATACTGTTGTAATAGCAAGAGGGCAAAGATGACCAGGAAATTGATTGGCAAGATAGCAAGCAATAATCTTGCATGTATCTACCCTTTTATTTTTTGATCAGTATCAATGGAAATTTCGAAAATCATAAAACGTATTAAATCTAATTTTATAACTCACATTCTTTCATTTTTTGGCAGGTACAGTGTGTTTGTTGCAACACTCATATCCAGTTCATTCTCATTTAATTTAATGTGTTCTGCACATATTGGTTTTAAATGTTTATTTTGCCCATCTTTTCTGGCAGCTGATATATGTAGGGTGTGTCGATCTGAGGGAACTCAGGACAAACCCCTCTACCATCCCTGCGTGTGTACTGGAAGTATTAAGTTCATCCACCAAGAATGGTAAGAACTTTGTTCATTCAGTGACAAATTCCCTGTACGACATCTTTTTTAATACTGTTTTATAAGATGCTTTGTTGGTCATAATGTGTACATACGTGTCAGATTTTTAGAGTCCATTGTTTTTAGACGTAGAAATGGGACATTAGAAGTAACATTCAATGATGACAGCTGGCTCATGTCTAAAGGCACTTTATTATTAGTTTATTGTATCTGCTATAAAATTCAGAGGATGTCATTTAAGCAGGTAACTACACTGAACCTGGTGTCCTGCAGTACAAATTCTAGGTGTCCTACTCAAGATGAGTCAGTAATGGCAAAAAAATGGGACGGCTTGAAATGGAAAACCACATGCAATGTAAGAAGGAGATCCAAGCTCTGACAAACAAGAATATGATCTGATCTGACAAAGGCCTTGCTGTTCATTAGTAAGCTTACAAGTCAGCAAGTGCAGGCATTAAGCATAGTTAAGATGATTTAGTGGAAGTCTGGTTGATACAATACTGTTCAAAAGTTTGGGGTCAGTAACATTCCTAAAAAGTTTTTGAAAGAAGTCTCTTTATGCTCACTAAGGCTGCATTTATTTGATCGGAAACACAGTAAAAAATATTATATATTGTGTATATATTGTTATATTGTGAAATATTATTATCCTTTAAATAAACGGTTTAATATTTTGTAATGTTTTAAATTGTAATGTAGTCCTGAGATCTGAATTTTCGGAAACTATTATTCCAGTGTTTAGTGTTGCATGATGCTTCAGAAATATTTTGCATTGTATTGTAATTTGCTGATTTGGTGGTCATGTAATATCTCGTATTATCAATGTTGAAAACAGTTGTGGAAACTCTGATGCTTTTTTTTTAAGGGTACTTTGATGAAAAGAACATTTTATTTGAAAAAAATTATTTGATCGGAAACACAGTAAAAAATATTATATATTGTGTATATATTGTTATATTGTGAAATATTATTATCCTTTAAATAAACTGTTTAATATTTTGTAATGTTTTAAATTGTAATGTAGTCCTGAGATCTGAATTTTCGGAAACTATTATTCCAGTGTTTAGTGTTGCATGATGCTTCAGAAATATTTTGCATTGTATTGTAATTTACTGATTTGGTGGTCATGTAATATCTCGTATTATCAATGTTGAAAACAGTTGTGGAAACTCTGATGCTTTTTTTTAAGGGTACTTTGATGAAAAGAACATTTTATTTGAAAAATTTTTTTTTATTTTGTAATATTATACATGTCTTTACTGTTACTTTTGATCAGTTGAATGCATCTTTGCTGAATAAAAATATGAATTTCTTTAAACAAAGGTAACTGACTGCAACTTTTTGAATTGTAGTGTGTATTGCTTTGGCAAAAGAAGATAATAAATAGAAAATAGTGTTTTAGTTGTATTGCACATTTCTGTAACACCCTAAATCGGCTAATTTGGCATTTTCTAGAACTGAATATCTGTCAGTAGTTCTAGGTTAACCTTTCTATTGGGGCCAGTTATTTTTGTAAGGCTTTGTGTTCCGTTTTTTTGTTCTTTTCGGTTACTGAATGGAAAGCGTCAGTGACACCCATTTGACTAACTTATGAGCTCAGGGGTCCTCCTCAATGTAACCGTTCCAGCTGTTGTTATTCTTCCCGTGTGGAAATGGAAAACGAAGCAGGATTTTCTGTGCTTTTTCACACAAGTCAGGTCATCATCCTCACTCCCGCTTCCTGCTCCCCTCTTGTGTTTTCACAGCTTGGTGCAGTGGCTTAAACACAGCAGAAAAGAGTACTGCGAATTATGCAAGCACAGATTTGCTTTCACGCCAAGTAAGTAACCCACTCTCATTACATTCTTCAGGGGAGGTAAAGCCACGAATGGCTCTATAGAGTCACAACAGCCTCGAATGGCCTGTTCAATAGCAGCGATTGTGTGCTTCAGAGCGAAAGGGTTCTATGGGTTGATCATGTGACGTAAAAGCTTCTCGTGTTGTCTGACGTTGCTGAACTGAAACAAGGTTTTTACACCCAGAGTAAGTTGTTGCATGGCTTTACTACAATGAAAGTGTTTTGATTTAGTTTTGGTCTTTGGTTTTCAAAAGCTTTGGGAGGAATGTAAACCCAAGCCCTTTGGAAAGTATTACTTCCAGTTTTCTTTGGGAACTTAATGTATTACTTAACATAGAATGACACGATCAAACAAAAAAGCAACAAAATAGCAAAATGGCTTAGTGAGATTATTAAATCACGACGCCTGTGATTTAATAAAATAACTATATGCGCTGTGTGTTTTAGAGTGAAGCGCAGCACTGTGTTCTGGTACACATGAGCAGCTCATGATTCTGTGCTTTCAGTGTGTCAAAATGGCTCGGTTCTCTGTTAAAATCACTCCAGACGAAATCCTCTCTGCATGTGCGTTGAGTTTGGGTTGTTTATGGCATGCATTTGGGTATGGAGCATGCACCAATCATCTTCCCAAACTTATAAAAAGGACTTATACCAGCTGATGTTAACAAAAGAGAATCTTAATGGGCTTCCTGTGGTTTTCTGCCAAAATAAAAACTTATGGTTTAAGGTGAATGAAGAAATGAAGACCGCCATAAATATTAATATTCTAATTTTACAGTTGTAATATAAAATAAATAATTATAATATAATTTTTTTCATTGGAAGTTTTACGTTGGAATGCTACAGTAGTAATATTTCTTATTTATGTAATTTTATTATATTATTTTAAATAATTTGAAGATCACAATGTTCATCAGAAAAATAAAAAAATCCCTAATATGCTTAAGTGATGGATCATTTTAGACAATTAGATACAAGCACCGCATCCTTGTTAACATTTTGTTTGCTCTTAAATGTTGCCATCTGTGTTTATGTGGACAATAATTGTTTTGATTCTCAGAGTTTAAAAGAGATGCTTTAGAGATGCCTCTTCTGTTTGTAGTGTTATGCTTTTGAATTCTTTTCAGAGTCATGATCTTTATTGTAGAGTCAGATATTTATTAAACAACTTTGAAAACACCCAATAATCTTATTAATTTGTTTAAATAGTTTGCAAAGGATTATGATCATCTTAAATTTGAATTAAATTAAGTTTCTAATCCCTCATTTTCAGTACTGTATGATGCACTTCCAATTGGGAAGAGCCCAAAATGTTTATCTACAATTTATCTCTTTTTCTTTCAGTTTACTCTCCAGACATGCCTTCACGGCTCCCAGTGCAGGACATTTTCGCAGGACTGGTCACTAGTATAGGCACGGCGATCCGATACTGGTTTCATTACACGCTTGTTGCCTTCGCTTGGCTGGGGGTTGTACCTCTAACAGCATGTAAGTGATGCCCAGAGGTCATAGTCTGGTATGCTGTATTTTATCCCCATGTTGTGCATTTTATACTATGTTACTCACATAATGTTCTCCTTTTCCTGTAGGTCGCATCTATAAGTGTCTGTTTACTGGATCCGTAAGCTCTCTCCTGACTCTGCCGTTAGACATGCTCTCCACGTACGTACCAGACAGGAAAGCTCTCAAGTTTTCTCCTTAAAATATTCATTTACATTGCGGATCGGCTCATTGTGAACTCTGAGCATGATGGGTTATTTCAATCCTCGCTGCAGTCTGGGGTTTAGCCGGGGATGTGGTTGCGTGCTGAATAGTAATGGATGGATATTTCAGAAGTAATGATCAGTGAATGTTCATCCTCTGCAGGGAGAACTTGCTGGCCGACTGCCTGCAGGGCTGCTTTGTGGTGACCTGCACCCTCTGCGCCTTCATCAGTCTGGTGTGGCTGCGGGAGCAGATTGTTCATGGTGGAGCCCCGTTATGGTTGGAGCAGAACCAGCAGCAACCTGCTAATGCAGCAGGACCACCTAATGAGGTATAATATCTATGTGTCATTACATCACTTTTCATCTGACTGAATGCATATCACGCTAAAAATTTATTTAGAATAGACAATAGTGATTCACTTATAAAATTGTGTGATTAAAAAATGAACATTACAACACGCTTTGTACATTGGCAAGTACAAGTTTGGGGTCGGTAGGAATTTTTTAAAATTATTTTGAAAGAAGACACTTCACCAAGGCTGCATTTATCTGATCAAAAATATAGTAAAACTGTAATATTGTGAAATATTTTTACAATTTAAAATGACTCTTGTGACTCAATTTTTTTTTCTTGTGGCTTAAACTTCTGTTTATGCCTAATAAACTTTCTATTTTCATTTTTATTTTTCCACAATTTTCCACACCAGCAACTTCTGTACAGCAAAAATGACATTCCTGTTACAGCTTAAGGCAGCAAAACTTTCTGAAAGCTTGATATTAATTAGAGACCAATTATACAGGTTGCGCCTTGACCCTCTTTGTTTACTTTGCTTCCTGCTTACAGTAATTATCATTTTGATTTGAGCACAACACCGTAGCCTGCCTGACCTTCTGTCATTTTCAAATCCCTCATTATCCACTGAATCTCTAGAAACTGCACTCTTACCAAAATAGCGGCTTATTTTTTCTTGGTTTGAACCAGATGCAGTTTACCACTACTACTTGACAAACCCTCTTATGTACCGACTCCACCATAGTTGATTCCAATTTTCTTCATTATTAATATCCTATCCATTAGGCTGCTGGCCAGGGTAATGGGGGTGCTGAAAACCAGCCTATGCCCGCACCGGCTGAACCTCCAGCAGAAAACGCTGCAGCGGCTGAAGCTCCTGACCTCCCCGCTGACCCTGCGGAAGAGATGGAGCTAGATAATGAAGATGAGGAGGATGGAGGAGCCGAAGATGTGGCGGATGCCAACAATGGAGCACAGGGTATGACGGCTTTAATTAAACAAATGAGAAACTTGTTTTTAAGTGGGTATAAATGCAAACTGGTGCAAAAAGCTGTTGGGCTGCAACTTTGTGTTTGTTCTGTGCAGATGATATGAACTGGAATGCTCTGGAATGGGATCGTGCAGCTGAAGAGCTCACTTGGGAAAGGGTGAGATTATGTGCTGTATGGCACTGTATCAAACATCATACCAAAATCTTTCAGAGAAACTTTAAACCTGTTCTTCCCTCTTTAGATGCTTGGGCTTGATGGGTCCTTGGTTTTTCTGGTAAGTCACACAAATACTTAATTTCTTAAAAACATCCAGATCAAAAGAACTAAAAATTAATACTTTTTTATGCTTTAGGAACATGTGTTCTGGGTGGTCTCACTCAACACACTCTTCATCCTGGTGTTTGGTAAGCATCACTGCAGATTTGTTTAAAACAAAATATTATAATATGAAAACATTAGCTATGTTTCCATCCAAAGTTTCTAATTAAACTTATGTGCAAAATTGGAATATCGCATAAAACGCATCGTTTCCATCCAGTGAGTTGAAGAGAAAAAAATCGTCACTTCCTGATTAACTTACGCTAAATATCATGAAGAAAAAATTAATTTGCTGCAGTGGGGGAAGGCATTGTATATAATAATGTTTGTATACAATAAATTACGAGCTTCAGAGCACGCAGATGAAACGCGGTGATGTTATCTTATTTTCGGAGCTTGCAGTTTGGGAACACAGTTCTGGGAGTTAATAATAGTGGAGCACTTTGACAAGACTTTGCTCAAGCATTTTAGAATGATAAAACTAGCATTTTAGATGCTGTGCAATGAGATCAGTCCATTGGTTGATCCAGTTATGCTGTCCCATCGCAAAATCACATACCTTTTTGTGATGCGCATTAAGGAATTTATTCGGAAAAAGTGTTTCCATCGTAGTTTATGCACATGTTTCCTTACCGGATAAGAAATGTATCCTACTTAGTTGAGCATTTTTAGATTTTGTGCGCATCTTGGCGTTTCCATCCAGCGGGGTTTTTTTTGTTTGTTTGTTTATGCGATTTCCCAAAATGTGCATAAAAATAAGTGGATGGAAACATAGCTATTGACTATGTTTTTCAATTACAAACTTCAACTCTTAAAATCATCCATTCTCAGCTTTCTGTCCCTACCATATTGGCCACTTCTCAGTGGTTGGACTTGGTTTTGAAGAATATGTAAGTATCAAACCTTTTATCCAGATTTGATTAAAAAAATTGATGTAAATGCAGTTTCAACATTGACAATTGTCAAATCTCATCTGTTTTCAGGTTCGTGCCTCGCACTTTGAGGGACTCGTCACTACTGTAGTTGGATATGTCCTTTTAGCCATCACACTCATCGTGTGCCATGTATCCTTAAACATTCAGTAACATCTGAAATAATCACAATCTAAGTAACTACCTTCTCACAATTACCACGTCTTCCAGGAAGTTACACATGAAATATTACTAGCGTCTTTTTAAAAAAAAAATTTTTTTATGAAATTGCCACACATCTACCTCCAAGTCATCCAGTTTCAGTTTATGTTCTCATCTACGGCAGTATTACAGAAATACTCCTTCTCATATGTTAACTCATATATGTTATCTTAAAATGGGAAGTTTCTGTAATACGGCCCCTGATGTTCCTTTCCTTAATTCAGATCTCAGGGATTAGCAGCACTGGTGAGATTTCAAAGATCACGCCGCTTGTTAGGAGTCTGCTACATTGTCGTAAAGGTCAGTTACATCAGCAGTTTATATGCACTGTTCTGTAAAGCCATGTTTGCTAAACTTGTTTAGTAATTAGAAAGGTGGAAAACAATGACTTAATAACATTGGTTGCAACAACTGTTTTTGCCAAAGATCTTTGGGATTTACTGTAATTCTATGTTCTCAGTCACATTAATGCTATAATTAGGTTGCATTATCTAAGCTTAGATTACAGGCCTGGGTCTAATACACTTATTTATGCTGCTATGTATACGTTTTATATTATATTCGTTTAGTATCAGTCATGTACTTCTTTTATTGAGGCACATATTTTGTTTCTTCCAGGTGTCTCTTCTAGTAGTTGTAGAGATTGGCGTGTTCCCCCTCATCTGCGGCTGGTGGCTTGATATCTGCTCTCTGGTATTTACTTTCATTTTATCAAACTAATTCAAGGTATGCATTTCTGTTCATGTTGGCCCAAAAAGGTCTGTAATAAATTGGAGAAAGCTATTGGTTAGGAAAAGCTAATGAGTGCACCAGTAAGTTTAGTTCAGGAACCTTAATCTTAGTATTTGTCATACAGAACAGGTTAACATTTGTTTATCTCTCTTTTATCTTATCTTTGTAGGAAATGTTTGATGCCTCTTTGAAAGACAGAGAGTTGAGTTTTGAGTCAGCCCCAGGGACCACCATGTTCCTTCATTGGCTGGTGGGGATGGTCTATGTCTTCTATTTTGCCTCTTTCATTCTTCTACTCAGAGAGGTGGGCATTTCTATATCAGTTTAATCATGCAGAAGATTTTTCAGGAGATGTTTGAAGGATGCAAGCGCTTTCCTTGTATTTCTTAGGTTCTAAGGCCTGGAGTCTTGTGGTTTCTCAGAAATCTGAACGATCCAGATTTCAACCCAGTGCAGGAAATGATACACCTACCAATATATAGACACTTGAGACGATTCATATTATCAGTGGTGAGTAAATGTTCAACTATTTTTGAGACCCTTTTCAACGGATCCCCTTAAATTTCATGGTGATGGTAAAAAAAATGGAGGAAAAATGTTTCAATGGTTTTGCATTCTCTTGCAAAAGTATAGTTTTCCTCCGAGAAACTTTTGCATTCACTCGCAAAACTTTTGTGATGGAAGTAATACAAGGTGGGAGGAAAGCTATGTTTCAATGTTCAGGTTTCTCAAGGAACGCAGTACTTTTGTGAGAGAGTGCAAAAGCATTTAATTTTTTTTTTCTTCCATCTCTTATTTTTACCATCACCATGCCCCCCCCCCTACCCCCCTTAGTGCTCCGTACTTTTCTGTTTTCCATGTTCTTAAATGAAAAGGTTTTTCTCTCTTTTCAGGTTGTATTTGGCTCAATCGTTCTTCTCATGTTGTGGCTTCCTATCCGGATAATCAAACACATCTTCCCTTCATTTCTTCCCTACAATGTGATGCTTTACAGGTAAATAAAATGTATTTCCATCTCATTGTCATAAAGTCCTAAAGCTTAATATTCCTTGAGATAATTGCCTAAACTTTGTGTAAAGATTCAGAGCTTGAGGACAAGGTGCTTTTGCTTGTTTTACTGTGTAAATCCTGTCAGAGATTACAACCAGAGGAAGCAAAGTTCTCTCTCTCTGTGACTTCATGGTTACAAGGGCCATAAATGTGAAGTGCTAATTACTGGGGTCATGGCAGACCTTTGCTTCGTTACCTAATGAGTGTAAGGACTCTCTGTAGTGTCAGGTGGGCCTGTTGCATCATTTGGCAGGTGTGTTACACCTGATGTCATCATTCACAGCAGAGCATTACTACAGTCTGATCTTGCAGAGAGCTATTAATGTAATGTCCACAACAATAATGCCATAGAAAGTCTCCTCATTCTGTGTTTGTGTAGAGTATTTTTCCCTATGTAACCCTCTTGTCCTCTCAGCAGTGTTGAGCTTTACAATCATCACTAGGAGAGTACTTTGAACAGCTGTAGTGTTTGTTAGGGCACTGACTCAGACTTCTGCGGAAAGAGGCCATCTTTCACGTGTTGGGGGCTTTTAAATATTGTTTGAATGACTGAGAAAGCTAATGTTTGAACTTCCAAACCCATATGAAGATGTTTGGACAAAAACAGAGAGATTATTCAAAATATCTTATGTAGTCATGCATTTATGGGTCATAAGGGTGAATACATGATGTCAGAATGTTCATTTATTGGTGAACTATCTCTAATTGTTTTTTTTGTTTTTTTAATAGTTTTAACACTACATAACTTCCTGTTCTCTCCTGGTTCACTAATTGAGTCCTGTTGTTTAACTCCTCGGGTTAACTCTGAAATATATAATGAGTTTTTAGAACACTGGTTTTCAATTTATGTGTAGAATAAAGGGCTGTTCACACCAAGGACGATAACTATTTCGATAATTATAACTGCAAAGTTTTAATAATCATTTTGGGGAATGGGGAAGTGCACACCACAACTATTATAATGTACAATATAGTTAGAATAACTTTCATAATGATTTTTTTTCATGCTGATAAATGATAAAAAACTGACAATCTATCAAAATTGGCTAACTTTAAAAGGCTTGAGTATTTTAAAGCAGAAAACGACACAACGTCAGTGTGTGCTTAAAGTAAATAAATAGAATGTTTGTTCATTCTTCATTGATGTGACTACAACGGTACTTAGATAAATTACACAACAGTAAGTTCATGCACACACTAAAGGGGCAGTAGTGTTGGCTCCATTTAAAATGTTCATATTAGTATTCAAGAATTGAAAGGATGAAATAAAATGAGCTTGTCTGGGAGTCACAGTGTGAAATTGTTATTTAAAGAGGACCAAAAGGGTAGTGTGAGGCCAGGAAAAATGCTACAGATCTTACTATTTCGATAATTATAACTGCAAAGTTTTAATAATCATTTTGGGGAATGGGGAAGTGCACACCACAACTATTATAATGTACAATATAGTTAGAATAACTTTCATAATGATTTTTTTTCATGCTGATAAATGATAAAAAACTGACAATCTATCAAAATTGGCTAACTTTAAAAGGCTTGAGTATTTTAAAGCAGAAAACGACACAACGTCAGTGTGTGCTTAAAGTAAATAAATAGAATGTTTGTTCATTCTTCATTGATGTGACTACAACGGTACTTAGATTACACAACGGTACTTAAATTACACAACAGTAAGTTCATGCACACACTAAAGGGGCAGTAGTGTTGGCTCTATTTAAAATGTTCATATTAGTATTCAAGAATTGAAAGGATGAAATAAAATGAGCTTGTCTGGGAGTCACAGTGTGAAATTGTTATTTAAAGAGGACCAAAAGGGTAGTGTGAGGCCAGGAAAAATGCTACAGATCTGATTAGATGACTCCCAGGCCATTTTATTCTAAAAACAAATTAGATGTTCCATAGGGAACTTTTGGAGGTTTAACATTATGGGTGGCAAATATGACAAATTGATGTCATGCTCTATTGCTAAGTGAGAAGAGTGATACCAGTAGTTTATATACAAATGTAATGAGTTCCTCTCCCTCTCTCTCTTTCAGCGACGCTCCAGTGAGTGAGCTGTCTCTGGAGTTGCTTTTGTTGCAAGTTGTTCTTCCTGCTCTGTTGGAACAGGGACATACACGGCAGTGGCTCAAAGGTCTGGTGCGAGCGTGGACCGTGACCGCTGGCTACTTGCTGTGAGTCTCACACACATTTACCCTGTTGCTCATTACGTCCGTTAACCTCATGGACTGAAATGACTTTTCCTGGTTTTCTCTGTGTTGTCCTAAAAAAACCTGTCACTGGAACTGAAATTTGTGTTAGGGTAGCACAATCATGACAAATCATAACTGTCGAATATTTCCGTTGATGTTACAATAACAATCATTAGTTTTGATTCAATAGCTCTTGGATTAAAATGTATTTTTATGCCCATTTTATTCCATTATAATCAATGAATTCTGTCACTTCAGAGTGCAACTCTTTGAGCCGGGCAGTTCAGCTTGAGTTCACGTGTACAGAGTTCTGCACGTTCACTAATGCTCCTGTTAAAGCTGTCCACGTTGTGGAATAAATCTCTAATTTACATTATGCCTACACCTTGATTTTAATAGGAGGGTTTAGTTCACCTTTTTTAATCTCTTTATTGAATTTCTTGAAGCTCTAATGATAATCTCAATCAACGCTACGTTGTGCCACACCTTTCAGAGACTTGCACTCTTACTTGCTGGGAGACCAGGAAGACAATGAGAACAACGGCAACCAGCAAGCCAACAACAACAACCAGCAGGCCCGAAATAACGCCATTCCTGTGGTGGGAGAAGGGCTGCACGCTGCCCACCAGGCCATACTGCAGCAGGGGGGCCCAGTGGGCTTTCAGCCCTATCACCGGCCCATAAAATTCCCTCTAAGGGTACTCCCAAATCTGTTCGATTGACTTTTATATTGCAGTGAATGTCGAGTTTGTGAATCTGATTTTCAGATTGAGGGTCTTTTAATGTTTATTTTTCTCTTTTGGCCCCCTTTATATAGATTGTGTTGCTGATATTGTTCATGTGTGTGACGCTGCTTTTGGCCAGTTTGGTGTGTCTCACATTACCAGGTGAGAGTCCAACAAATTGGGATCTTATCATTTGCGCACCCTCATATTGCTTTATAGAACATAAATGAAATAGAAGTTTAAAGAATTGTGCTGGTGGCATTGAGCTTTCAATATTCAAAAAAGATTCAAAAGCAGTTTAAGTGGTCAGCCAATTAAGTTTCAAAGCTTGTGTTAATCAAAGCTATCATGCAACTTTGCAAGATTTAAAGCACAATAGTCTTATGGACTATTTTAATGGTGTTTTAAAGCTGTCTTTAAACTTTGAATAGTCAGTCCCTGTTCCTTGTAATTTCATGTAAAACAGTGACCCACACAGTCTTGGAAATAGAGGTTACACTTTATTTTAAAGGGTCTTTGTTACAGTATACTTGCATTTAAGTACTGAGCAATAAGAATTAACAACATATACTTACTATAGGGTTAGGATTAGGTTTTGGTTTATGGTTAGTTGCATTTAATTATCCATCATTTTGCTAGTATTACTTACCACAGTAAATACATGTAGTATGTAACAATGACATGTTAATGTTCAATGTTACTGAAATCTCTCCTTTTGTGCTCCATGGAATAATAACAATTTATATTCCTTATTATTTTTGTTAAAAGAAAATGCAGCCTTGATGAGCATAATAGACTATTACTTTAATGTTTAAAAAATATTAAAATGCTGTTATTAAATGATATTTTCCTTAAAAACTTTTATTTATTTATTTTTATACTGATCCGTATGCTTTCAAAGAGAGAGGGAGCATAGAAAACTTTGTCTCACTGTCTGTTTGTCACAGTGTTCACTGGACGCTGGCTGATGTCCTTCTGGACAGGCAGTGCTAAGATCCATGAGCTGTACACTGCAGCGTGTGGGCTGTATGTGTGCTGGCTCTCCATCAGAGCGATCACAGTGCTGCTGGCCTGGATGCCTCAGGGGCGGAGAGTCATCCTGCTCAAGGTTCAGGAGTGGACCCTCATGGTAATGAATGCAGTGGTTTCATTGTGGCTTTAAAGGAATGGAAAAAAGAGAGGAATATATTAGGATTTTGGGGTTATTTTACTGCAACATACATGACTTAAAAACTATTGATTACATACAAAGGAACCAAAGACAGATGATTCCATAATGAGCCGTGTTGCTGATTTGTGTGAACTCAGATTTTGAAGACACTGATTGTGGCTGTGCTGTTGGCTGGAGTGATCCCTCTGCTCTTGGGACTGCTGTTTGAGCTGGTGATTGTAGCTCCTCTCAGAGTGCCGCTGGATCAGACGCCGCTGTTCTACCCCTGGCAGGTAAAGCACCAATAGGAGTCCTGCTCTTAAAGGCACAGTTCACCCAGAATAGAACAGATGTATACGGGTCCTTTATGCTTTTTCACTTTTTCAACTTTAGTTAGTCTGTAATGTTGCTGTTTGAGCATAAAAAATATCTGCAAAGATACAAAGGTCAAAGTCCACTTCAAAAGAAAATATTTAATTTAACAGAAATCGCTTTTCAAAAACTACAACGAACAACTCGTTTGGACTACAACGCCTATTTTCTGGGATTTGTGATATCACAAATATCGACGAATGGGACGAGAGACCTGGTTGAGCTGCACTAGAGAAGGCAACGAGTGTTATCACAATATTGGAGACACGCTAGCTTTCCCAATGCAGACAAACTTAGAGTGGTTACAATCATCCGGGTTTAAATTGCACTCAAATTGATTTGATTTTGACGCAATATTTGCACTGAAGCTCGCAGGCGACCAGGCGCCGAGTGGTGCCAATCACAACACACACTGGCCCAGCTAACCAATCACAGCATATTTGATACAGGAACTATTCGAGCCGTTCATGCCAGACTGGGGAGAGAGGTGTTGTAATAATGTAAAATATGTGAAAAATAATGTTTTTTTTCTTCTAAACAACCTAGTATTGGCACTTTTCCACTGCATGGTACGGCACAGTACGGTTAACTTTTGGGGGGGTTTTCCACTGGGTACAGTACCTGGTACTTTTTTTAGTACCACCTCGGTTGAGGTTCCAAGTGAACCAAACCGTTACCAAAACATGACGTGTAAACTCTGCTGATCACGGATTGGCCGGAGAGAATCGTCACTACCTGCGTCACTGAACTTGCGACTCAAACACAACAAAACCGCTAGATTTAAATCCGCACAGCCAGTGAAGGATTAAACGCAACTGTTAACAAAAAAGTGGCTGTTTCGTTGTCTGTTGAGGAAGTACAGACATTCCTCTCGTTGATAGCAGAGGAGCGGATCCAGCGAAAGCTTGATGGGGCGACGCAGAATGAAATAGTTTTTCAGGAGTCGCGGCAGTATAGGCGGCGCAACTAACGACATGTGAATAATCCCGCCCACTCTAAAGCGATACTAAACTGCAGTGGAAACGCAAACTGAGCCGTGCCATACCACGCAGTGGAAAAGCGCCATATGAGAGCCTGTTCTAGTACACCTCCAAAACAAAATCAAGACTTTGTAAAAGAGCATAATAGGACCCCTTTAAAGTATCAAAAGCAGACCATATGACATAGTTGACAATTTTCACACTGCATGTTAGAACCAATGGCTTTCAAAGGATATATTTTTTCTTTTCTTTTTAAAGACAAATTAATTTAAAATAGTGCTGGGCATTAATCGCAGCCAAAATTATTATTTTTTGTGTGCAAAATATATATGTGTACTGTGTATATTTATTATGTATATATAAATACACACACATACATGTATATTTTTAAGAAAAATATGTTGTTTATATGTTGAATACATTTATATATAATGTAAATATATACATGTAAATATTTTCAAAATATATACTGTATGTGTCTTTACATATCCATAATAAATATACACAGTTCACACAAACTATTATGGTAACACTTTATTTTAAGGACCTATTCTCACTATTAAGTAGTTGTTTATTAGCATGCATATTGGCTGTTTATTAGTATTTATAATCCACATATAAATACCTCATTCTGCATGACCATATTTTAGATCCCTTAATCCTACTCCATACCTAAAATTAACAACTACCTTACTCTAACTAGTAATAAGCATTAAGCATATTTAATAAGTAATGAGCATATTTTGGATGCAATTCATCATTGCCCAGCACTAATTTGAAATCATAAGGGTGAATAAATGACAATCTTGGAGTATGTCATTTATTGAACATCACCCGAAAAAACGTTGAGGGTCACAATGTATTTTTTTCTCCCATTAAGACGCCACCTGTGTGTTAAAGGCATTCTCCACCCAAAATGAAAATTCTCTCACTATTTACTCACCCTCATGCTGTCTTAAAAGTATATGACTTCAGAAGAACACAAACCTGCTTGCATTGCATGGACTTATAGAGATGAATTATTTTTCTAAAAGTCTTTGAATTAATCTGAAGAAATATTCAGCATGAGGGTGAGGAAAATAATGAGAGAATGTTCTGTTCTTTAGTGTTGTGAGTTCTTTATACACAAATAGTTTAAAAATAATCTTGACTTAGCAACTGTATTCTCATCTGACATGTCCACTGTGTGTCAGTATTTATCTGACCCAGCTTTTGTTTTTGTGCCGTGCACTGTTCTCTGTTTGAGCTAATGAGCTGTGTCACTGATGTACCGGAAAACAGATTTTTGTTGGATTTACTCCAGTAGCAGGCAGTTTTTCAACAGACTCCTTTTGCCCGACTAATCTAATCCATCCTGTTTGGAGAACTTAATTTCCTGCTAAGGTGCTAAGTGGGGCACAGACGTATGGCCGTGTCAGTGGTATTGACTCTTATTTTTCTCTGTATTGTTAAGGACTGGGCTTTAGGAGTGCTGCATGCCAAAATCATTGCTGCCATCACCCTCATGGGTCCCCAGTGGTGGTTGAAGACCGTTATTGAGCAGGTTAGTGGCTGCGGTGACTATCGTTTGTTCATGATCTCTGTGGTGCTGTTAAGGGTCTAGATCAGTGGTTCTCAACCCGGCCCGTCACGAATTCAAATGCGGCCCACCGTGCTGAACACAATAAAAAAAAATAATAATAATTTTTTACAATTAATTTTAGTTTTTACATTCATTTAAAAATGTACTAAATAAATATGAGCTATAGCCTAATATTTTTATGTAAAATAATTGTTTTTCATATATTATTTTCAGACATGAGCAGTACTCGCATAGCCCAATTAACGTTATGCATTTAAAGTAACGACCAAGCGGCAGACAGTGAGCATATGTTTGATCAATTTAGCCTTCTCAAATCATCACGACTTGACTAAAATAAAATCTATAGATATAAAACAGTTCAAGCATATAACAATGTTTAAACGTTAAACCTAGATAAATGTGCGTTATATTCAATAGTTTGTGTGGAGAGTGGAAGCTGAAGCGCGCGTTGCAGGACATAGAGACGCCAGCGCGATCACTTGCATTTTTTTTCAGTGGATACACCGTCATTTTTGCTCATAAAGGTAAGAATAATGCATCATTCGTAACTGTAAAGGGTCTACTTTTATTTGTGTGCACTCACAATAGGATGTCTAAAATATAAAAATAAGGAGAAGCTAAAACAGGCCTGAGGCCCGGCCCGCGTCTGAACTATGACGTGAAAATTGTCCTGAAGCCCGGCCAGAGGGGTGTAAAAAAAAAGTCGGGGTCCGTCGGGCCTGGGCTGAAATGCAGGGCTCTAGCTCTGATCTTGCACACAGAAAACGATTTGACTGAAAATTTATCAGAAGAGATGAAAGAAAGATAGTGGTCATCTGCGCAATTCGAAAAAAGAGGCGGCTTTTCTGCATTTCAGGTATGGGTTTTTTTCTTTCTTTTTTTTACTCTTTGTACAGCAGTTATTGTTGGGTGCCCCCCCACACATAAAAGTGAAACTCCGCCTATGATTGTGCTGTTACTCCTTTCGAGCCGAAGTTCACAAAACTGGGTGTTATTTATGGGGAGTAAAATTATTTATTTATTTCAATGAATGTAATCGATTAGATGCTATAATAATATAAATCAGGTTGGTTTGTATTGCTGACGTAGTATGTAAATGATATGCGTGCGGCCCGCGAGACTTGCACTTGGACCATAGTGCGGCCCGGTGGAAAAAAAAGGTTGAGAGCCACTGGTCTAGATGCTTGACTATAGACTATAGTATACACTCACTAACTGAATGATTTACTGCTTTTCAGGTGTATGCCAATGGAATCAGGAACATTGACCTTCATTTCATCATCAGGAAGCTTGCGGCCCCAGTCATTGCTGTACTGCTGCTTTCTCTCTGCATCCCCTATGTGATTGCTGTAGGCATCGTCCCCCTTCTAGGTGGGTAGAAACAATGCTGGTGTTAGTCAAAACTCTGTTTCTCAGAACATGTTTGTATTAGGCTTAGTTGTGTTTAGTGTAAATTTAACTTTTATCTGTCATAGTTTTCAAAAGTCTGATTTTGTAATTGGTCAATCAAAAAGCTTAATGTTTTTATGCCAGAAAAATGTGGCTCTGGTTTAATGCTAAAATATGAAATTAAATAATTACATATATTTTCAACCATAAAATTGAACTATATGAATTATAAATGTGAGGTTTTTACAGAGGTTTATATATTTAAAAAAAAAAAACATTGACTGAATTTACTGTATAACATGGAATGTTAAGAAATTTGCCAAAATTTGGATGGATAAATCAAAAGTAGGTCAGTACACTTAAATCAATATGCGATATTTTCTAATGTCGATGAATATTAAGCCGTTTAAATATGAATCCTGCATGTTTCTGTGTGAATGAATGGCGCAGACAGTGTTTTCAGCCTCTGCCGCCTCAATATATGAGTACATGAACACATAAACATAATCTCCAGAGGTGCTCTGAGAGTCACTTCATGAGAATTTTAGCATTTATTTTGAGAAAAACTACAGCCATATATACAAACAGAAGCCTAAAGGTCTTTACAGCAACTTGTCAAAATAAAAGTTTGGTTTAACTTGAAGTAACTGTGACAGAAACATATTACTTAATGTAATGATAATATTACTACTACTAATAAAATTATTATTAAAACATCATTTTTAAGGAATATTTACAAGAGAATTTATTTAGCAGAAAAATGTAAATACACAACACAGTATTTCTGAAAAACACAGAATTTGGTGAAAATAAAACTAAATTTGAGAAAAAATAAAACTGATTTCATATATATGTCCCTTATATATAGTAAGTTCTTTGATTCCTTTCATCCTGGACATCCCATAATAAGCGACAGTGTCATTGAAGTTGGACTTTGTTTGATTCTCATCTTTTAGAAGAGGTTTTAGCACTCATTCGAGTGGCTTCATCATGTGGAGATTTGAGTGGTCTTCAATCAAAGAGGACAAAGTAGTTGTAACAGCTGCATTGTAAATGACTACTTGAGCTTTTTAAGTGCAAAAATTCAGATGAAATCTGAATAGTTAGGCGCCCTTCATACTGCATATGGGAGTTGTATAGTGACATTTAAGATTCCAATAAATACCTGTTTGTTCGTGTCGGGACACTTCCAACTCTCTTTGTGGCTCAATAAAGAGCAAATCACCATCGTTCTGCATATGTTCACATATACTGACTCGTTTCGGTTACTGCACCACTGAAAGCATTCTGGCTGTGTCAGTAGCTGTTGTGGGAGTAGTGTGGTAAAATTAGCTCATCACCGGCTGTGCTACCGAACATTAGGGATATCTTACATGCCTTAAGAAGGCCAGGTGTGTTCTCAAGGACAGTCACCCAAAATAGAACTCTCTTTCTGCCTGAAATCGTAATTAAACCGTCAAAAACCATCATATATCTTAAGACATGTTTTTCTTGCAGAGGATTTCTCTCATGTTACAATACTTTAGCACAGTTATCCATTCTAACCAGCTCTCGTCTCTCTGAATAGGGGTCACTATGGAGATGCAGAATCTGGTGCAGAGGAGAATCTACCCCTTCCTTCTGATGGTAGTGGTACTGATGGGTATCCTCTTTTTCCAAATCCGACAATTCAAGCGCCTTTATGAGCACATCAAGAATGACAAGTGAGTCTTCAACAGGATTTTGAAATTAACTACTTTCTTTAGAGTCAATATTTGCCAATACAAATGCCTAGTGGATTTGATTTTGTACCTTGAGAGAATTTTCAATAATGTGCCACCCATTTGCTCTACCATTCAAAGATTTGGGGACAGATTTTGTTTTATAAAATTAAATTAATACTTTTACTCTGCAAGGATGCAATACATTTATAAAAATTGATAGCAAAGACATTTATAATTTTATAAAAGATTTCTATTTCAAAGAACTTTTTATTGATTAAAGAATCCTGGAAAAATGTAAGTAACGTGATCAGTTATGGCTATTACCTAAAAATCATACCTAGTCAATATGATTAAATTTTAATATAATACAACTAATATAAAATGGCATATATATATAATTAGATTGCTTGATACATAAAAACTTGCATTTTAGATATTTGGGGCATTTTTTTATCATTTTTAATAGAATTTATGTCCCACTTTTGAATAAGAATCAAGTCTGTCACTTCACACTTTACTGATAAGCTTGTTTATCTGGGCTTTGTGTTGATTTGTGTTTTGCTCTTTTTTTCATCCATGCAGGTACCTTGTTGGACAGAGACTTGTGAACTATGAACGAAAAGCTGGCAAGCCCAGCACTACCACACACAGCAGTTCAGTGCAGGAGTAAAGAGCTTGGGATTGCTTTGGAGTCACTGTTTTTGTGTGCGAGTGAGCGAGCATGTGTGCGCATGCGCGAATGACTGAACAACCTTCCTCTCCTGCTCCCTCTGTGTGCGTCCGTACATTCAGCATGTCCACTAAGACTCAAAAAACTGACCTCTGGCCTCTCTGACCCTGCCAGCAAAAAGGGGCAAAAGTGTTGTGTACATGAACGGGGTGAAAGAGAGAATCCCTACAGCCTGCCAACCGTGGATTAAAAAGAATGTTTCACTCCTAAAAAGAAAAAAAAGATTGTGTATTAATTTATTAAATCTAGTTGTTACCTTATTTGTGGAGATTTGTTCGTGGCAAAACTCGACCTACATGGTTCCTTTCATCACCCTCACGGAGAGGCCAGTCAGACTCCAGGGATGAAAAGTCTCAACGTCTGGGTCATATAATGGAGCTGGACTGTCACATTAGTACCTTTTTATTTATTAGGTTTAAATTTTCAATGAAATATGATCTTGAAGTTTTTGAATGAGAGGGTCTTGTTTGATTTGATGCTTTCGGTAGTGTCTTACCTTCATATCTCGATGCTTTAACCTCCCTAATTTTATGTGCAGACCAGAAGGGGATGGAGGCGGATTTTATGGTTACGTCACACTCATCTGCTTCCTGTCATGTGGAAAAGAGGGAATTTCGTTTCACCCAACAGTTCGCATGCGACTGTTGTTGACCAATTCTAAGAAGCACAGAGTCAGTATCTAGCAGCCGAAGCGTAGTTTGACGGTAGAGTTTATGGCTCACAGTGAGTCGCGAATCTGATCTCTGCCTGCTAGCTCGGTGTTCAACTCTGAAAAATCATTTCGAGTAGCTTAGAAGACCGTTTAGAGTGCTAGTTGAGTCAGTGGTTGAGCTAGCATATTTGTTTGCTGTTCAAGTTGATATCGACCGTTGTATGTCCGTCTCGTGCTCAGCATGGCCTAGCAACACTTTCTCATAGATGTAACTCTGGCACGTACACAGGTTGTTGCACTTTTTTTAATTTAAGAAAGCGTCTTTTAAGAGCAGCGATGGTTCAGAAACCCTTTAGACCAAATTTGAAGTCCTTATGCAAATGGGAGCTCACTAAAATTCGTTAAACTGATCAAATTTTCAGCCGAAATGTGGTTTATGATTCTTGCATCGGTCCGGTAGAAGAGTTTCATGTCTGTAGGTAAGGAGGAGATCCTCAACTCGTTTGTAAATAAATAATGTACCTTTTCGATTGTTCGTAGCAGAGTATGTTTTTCTCCATTTCAAATTTGCTGCGTCTGTTACAGATTGACGATTCACCGAAGAATTAGTCTCAGACGGCTTTAGAGATAGTGTTAATCAGCGCTGAGATTCTATAAGTGACCTTATAGTATCTTATTACACTGAAACTGGATACTGTATGCTTCTCGATAGCTTGTGCTCCTCTGAAAGGCAAATGCTCTATTTTTATATGTGCAACTAGTGACACCGTTTTCATGTTTGCTCAGCCATTGATTTGATTTCCTCTGAAGTTTTCTGAGGTCAGCTAGAATCCAGGTAAAGTGTCTGGTTTACTAAGCCTTTTCCTTTTCATCGCATGTTTGTGTGAAGTATTCAGTATTCTGAATGTTTTCAAACCTCCTAGGAGGCTCTCGCTGTAACAATTACATCCTCATAATGGCAGACACATTTTTAGTTTTGTTTGTTGAAAACTTTTATTACAAATATTAAATCACAAAGTGTAGTACTTGCGGTGCTTTGTGTCTTTAATCAAACTTATCATTCGTGTGCTTATTTTCATGCAGTTCACTGACCAAGTGAATTAGAAATGTAATAATACAAAAGATTACTGTCAGTGTAATATAAGGATGTTTAGTATACAAATGACTTTTAAAGCATGTTTGATGTATCACAATAATACGTTTTGGAACATCTGACTTTATAAGACCGATTATTCACTCGAAGCTAATAAACCGGTTGGATGTTTGTGGTACAAAAACAACAAAATGCAGAAAAAGCTACTAATTGCACAATTCATTCTGAACATACATTTAGAACAGGACAATTCCTGTAAGCATGTAGAATAATAGCATCAACCTTACTAAGTTTTCCAACTCTTTTAGCAAATTTCTTATGAGCCAAACTGCGTTCTGTCTAAATATGCTTTAATCCCGTTAAATGTTTAAAAGAATAGTTCACCCAAAAAATGAAAAACTGCTGATTTTACTCACCCTCAGGCTATCCAAGATGTAGATGAGATTTTCTTCATCAGAACAGATTTGGAGAAATTTTGAAGCATTACATCACTTGCTTACCAATGGATCCTCTGCAGTGAATGGGTGCCATCAGAATGAGAGTCCAAACAGCTGATCAAAGCATCACAATCGTCACAAGTAATGCACGTCTCCAGTCTGAAATTAACATCTTGAGAAACACAAATGTGTTCGAAAGAAGAAGAAAAAACCATAAGACGTTTCACTTTAAGTTATTGCTTCCAGCCAAAATAATCCATAACAATGCTTCCTCCAGTGAAATAGTTGTCTACTGTCATTACTTTTTTGGACTTTTTGCTTGTAAACTGCTTGATCTGTGCATATTTCTTTCTTCGTTTTAACGAAATGAATTTTTCACTTGTGAAAGCAATATTTTGTAGGTCTGTAGGCTTATATTTTAGCTGTAAGCAATCATTTAAAATTAAAACACTTTAATTATGGACAAACACAGCTTTTCACTTCACAAGCTGTTAATTGAGGACTGGAGACTGGATTACTTGTGGATTATTGTGATGTGCAGACAGTGAACAAGTGATGTAATGCTAAAGTTCTCAATTTGATCTGACAAAGAAACAAACTCAAACATCTTGGATGGCCTGAGGTTTCATTAAGAAACAACATTAAGTTGAATTTAAGTTGAAAAACTACTGGGACTCTTCTTGCTTTCTTTTTGCTTGCCATGGTTTCTTATTATTATATCACACTAATTTGTTTGATGTGGCCATTGGACATTTTGTTAGCTGAATTTCTTGTCATACTGTATATGTTGTTGGCAAGATGTACAGTTAATTTGTATTCCTACCAAATTTCTTTTTGGGATGCTCAATCAAAGTTCATGACCTTCAGCCTTAATGTTTATTGTGTGTTAGTCACACAATCTCTCACAGTGTACAGTTGTGTAATAGATGTGTCATGTCTAAGCTACACAATGACCTGCCTTTAGTAGGCCACAATATTAAGTTGTACAGGTCTTATGAATCAGTGTTGTTACTGTTAACTAAAACTATTCAAATGGTTTTCATGAATTAAAATGCACTCTAAAAAAAATCTGTAAACATAGGGCACAATATACTGTATAATTTGAAGGAGTTTTTCTGTATTTTTCTTTTTTTACAGGTGTTTTACCAGTATTTAGAATTTTACACTTCTTTGCATTGTGTTTTAGAGTTAACAGAAATGTCCATATAATTATTGGATGATGTCGCGTGTAATGAGCTGCCAGTACTCTTTCTGTTATTTTACGGATTTATTTTTTTACAGTGTATAAATACTGGATGAAGAATGTAATTAGAAATGTTGCCTTGGCCGAAATAAAATGTTTAAAGACTAAAACTGAAATGACAAAAGCAAAAAATTACTAAAGCAAACTCAAAAAAACTATATTCTTGACTGGCAAAAGGCCTTTCACTCCCCTTAGCTCGGAGAAGCTTACAGTTATGACAATGTTGGTGATAACAGTGTCATGTTTATGCAAGGCTATTATCATATCAAAGAGTCTTTAAGCATGCATGATCCATGCAGTGCTCCTCAGGGAATGAGCTCATGCGCTGAGGCTGTCTCCTTCCTCCATAAATATCGACATTGCGCTGAAGTGAGGCTGAGACTTTCATCCGTACATAAATATGACATTAAAAGCACAGTCTATAAGGAAAGAAATCTGGCTTGGATGGCAACTCTTAGAAAAAAACGTGCCTTCTTGACACATGGTGGAATTGTTGAGTATATAAATATTAGATCGTAGTGACGTTTTCATTGACATGACACCCACCACATAGTCAATATACGTAGATGGAATGGTCTTTAAGTCCAGGAGTTTACAAACTGCTGTCCAGGGGCCTGCAAGCTGGTGTTAAGGGATCTGTGGAAAAGTTCAGAGATAAAATAAAAACAAATAAATGAACACAGGATATTAATAGAAAATAAAGAATTTCACATTATATTGTAATCCTTGTGCTTTCTAAATAATGTAATCATGAGATTAAACACAATTCAATTAAAAAACTTCATAGAAAGTAAAATGTATTAAAATTTGTTCAGAAATTATAGGCTATATGTTAATACTTTACACACATTGATATTTTATTTGTTTTACCCAGTATGAGTGACTTTATACATTAAAATATAGAGTGGCCTTTATATTTTTGGGAAGAGGGTCCCTCTCAAGGGAATCATCACATTCTGTGGCATCAAAAAGTTTGAAACCCCTATAAAGATAAAGTAATATTAAACCAAATAAATGGATAAATAAATAACATGAAAAAACAAAAAATGTTTTCTTGGCAAATGCATGATATAAGTTGAATTACTAAAAGCATATGCTATAAATATGAATTAAAGCTAAATAGAATAAAACAAAACTATTAAAACAAAGCACAATTACTAAACGTGAAAATGAAAACAAACTATAAAAATAAAAGCTAATTCAAGATATTAATAAATACTATAAAATACAGCTAAAATAACACTGATCTAGGGCTAAATGGGATTATATATATTCACAAAAGATTCAATAGATTTCTAAGTCAAATCTTTGTCTTGACTTGATGTCCATGCAGTAGTGATGATCTCCAGCTGACATCTCTTGGGTCTGCACCCAGCCAGCTAAGCTTTTTGTTGGTTTGTTTTATTTGACTAAATTTAAAACATAATACAAAAAAGTCTAGAAAGACTGATTCATACACATTTCATAACTGTCAAGGATAAAATACACAAAAAAGCCTTTGGTTTATTTCCATTGTGGTCCTTGGTATTAAAAAATAATAATATGGACGAACAAATCATAAATGGAGTGCTATCCACATCAAGTTCAGAAACTCACCACACAAACTTCAAAACATCAATGATAAAACAACCATTTTTTAACTTCCCTTCTAAAAATACTATCAACTTGTATCTCTGGAATACGCTCAGGTAATTTATTCCAAGCAACACAGCTAGTATATAAAAAATATTTTTTTCCCATTTCACTCTTAAACCTACAAGGATATACAGTATATCATTACTACTCACCCTTGTAGAA